ATGTGAAGCGGGAGACCATTATGTTTAATATAGCGTATTTCGCTGTTCCTGCAATTTATTTTGTAGATAACGTTTGGCTTGTCGCCCTTTTCTACTGTCTTTCAGCCTGCATTACATGGAGTGAAGAGACTTTGTAGGCTTTTTATCTACAACGATTCAGAAAGGTTTCAGTAACTTAGTTGTAATTTTGGAGAAGTTCTTTGTGCAAAGTAAGACATTCCGGCTGTTTGTTTCCTAGTATGATAGAGAATTCAATGAACATCTTTTGATGAAGTTGCATAGGTATCTGCTGTTTTGAAAGACAGTGAATAGACAGTTTTCTTTTCTCCGTAAGCTTGATGTACTGTAGTGTCTTCAATATTCCCAACAATGGTTTTACTTAGAATCGGTTGTCAATAGCCGAGAAATCTTATATTTTACTACTTTCTGAAGTTTGAGTTTCAGATGATGTCCAGAATGACAACGAAAGTAAGACGTTTAAACTGTCAAGCTCACATAAAAAAGCCTCATCGAATTTCATTTACTCTCTTTCTACAGAGATACTTCCATAACTGTGGCTTTCATCAGGAAAGTTGGTTATTTTCATGCCCCATTGTCTTTCTTTCTCATTAGGTTATGAGATCGGTAATAACCGGGTTCAAGGCACTCTGAAAGAAAATAATATCCAAAGAAAACATAGCTTCTTAGTAGAGCAGTTTAGACAGTGAATTATGTTTGGTCATGCCATTAAAGAAGTCATACATGGTCATGGTAAAGTCTAAGCTAGTCCATTAATTGGAATACTTCATCTATTGTATTGAATGCTACAGCAGAGCTCACAACATTTTTGACAAAGTATAGCTTGTGAGCCTCAAATTTAACAATGTTTTAGGACACCAATAACAAGATTGCATAAATAGTCAGAAATGAAATTATGGAACTTACAATTACTTCTAGTGGTATCTTAAAGTTTGTAAATGAATTTCAAAGTAGTTATATTTTAATAAGCAAGTATTGGGATGTAGTTAAAAACTTTGTAGAATGATTGATCGCGGGAAAGCAACCGATTTAATGTTGACCGAATTGTACCTATCCTTTTTGGAATGTGGCCACCAAACTAGGAGGCTCAGCATCGTGGCGCACACTGATAGATGTTACTTGGTTGGAGGCGACCTGTAGGAAGCCTTGGACTTCGGTTTCGTGCTCGTTGGCATTCATCAGCAAAGCGTATCCGCAACCTCGAAGGAACTGATGTTCCACCTGAGATACGAAACTGCGTCACCCAGTGTTGTAATCGGTGACGTTACCAGTGAGTCACGTCGCTGACTTGAACACTGAGTGACGCGGGTTCAAATCTCAGGCGAGACGTGAGTACCACTGGGGTTGCAGACACGCCTTGCTGATGAGTGCCAGTGAGCAGGAAACCCAGGTCCAAGGGTTCCTACCAAACGCCTCCAACTAGCTAACATGTAAAAGCTTTATATCGTGTAATTGTTAGGATTCAAATTAAAAGTGTGTTTAACCTGAATCAACTCATCCTATAGTTAATTTAGTAAAGAACTGAATTAATTCCCATAAACTTTTAAGAGACATAATAATACAGGTCTCTTTCATTGGCCCTTTGCTTTTGAGACTAGTAGATGAGGGATTTATCTTTACGCAACTTTAAGAAAGAAATTATTTTATTTTTTATGTCACTCTGACCACTGTGACTCATCTTTTATTATTGAAGAGTTAAGATTGTGAAAACTGGGACTAAGTTTTAGGCTATCACTATATGTAATCGTTTAAACTTGGAAAACATACAAGACGTGTTCAGGAGTGGAGGTTTTACTTCTATTGTGATGACTTATGCTTTTTCCAGAAAGAAGTGTGCCTGGCAAGAAATAGGTTCACTACGTGGAGGCTTAGACTCAACTTAAACAAGTTCAGTTGCATTTACGTCAGTGTAATCTCCTTTGGAATGCAGCCTGCACAGTGTTGTCGACTTTGTTTTGAGATGCTCCAGTCACTTAAAATCCACTGAACAGGTTGGATCATAGACAAGAATCTTACTAGGGTGTATAATTGATAACTTTCTTAGCCATATAGCCAGACTTTTACCTTGCGAAACACTTTTGAACCACTGATAGAATACCGTCCACTTATTTTTAGTAGGATCTGTATAGGTGACAAAATAGAAAGTGAAAGTATTCAAAGGTATCTTAATTCTAGCTTACTAAGATGCGATGTTAATATGCAATATGAGATGACTCAGGCTGAATCTCATTTTTCTTTTCCAAGCCTCTCACAAAATATATTTTTCATCTAATTAGGAACTGTAGTTCCCAAACGATGGTTGATGTGGCCTACACAATTAAGCTTTCAGAGCTAAAATAGAAGCTTTTAGAATGCTTATATGTGCTAACTTTCTCACCTTTGTTTTTTCCAAGTATGGATCCAGCTACTTTTCAAAATTAGAGTCTGCAGCTCATCTGTCTAGTTTAACTGTTCACGGGACAAATTCCTGTTCTGTAGTAAACTTGGAAACAAGTTAGGTATACCACAACTATGTTCCTCCAAGTGTAGTATATTAGGTCCCCTAAACATCTATATAGTGATCGCGTATAGTAACGGCAAAGGCTGCTCTATCCTTCAGTTGAAGATGTGATACAATGGGGCATATACTTAATTACAAGGTAGAACTAGCTTTCTTTTGAAACATTTTCATCGTTATAGTCAACTGAAGGTATTCCTTATCTGGATGTCATAAGAATATAAAGTATTCATTAATGTTTACTCACCGAATGGACATATATTAATAGCATAAAGATATACAATTCATAATCGATACAACTCCGATATATATACACCCAGAAGGGGCTTGTCATGGGGCTTCCTTCTTCCTTGGTTTTCCGCCCTTCGGCTTTTCCTTTGTTAATGTTCTGACTGACAACCAAGGAATCTGAAGTGGGATTTTGATTGCAGCAGATCCCCATTACTGCCCATTTAAAATCGCTATTTTAATTGCTAAGGCACGTTTCTACATTTAGGAAACCTGTAATGGACATCTTATTCAATCACATGCCAGTAGTATCTCTAGTAATATCCAAGATCTGTCACACTACAATTTGAAGCATTAAACTTTCAAATATGAGAGAAAATTTAAAAAGGTTGATAGGATGCCTCCCAATTCAACAACATACAATGAAATCTGGAAGTTAACATGATGTTCATCTCTCATTTGAATGACTAGTGTCATCTTATCCCCTGCAGCTGCAAACAACATTCCGAGAAACCCAAAACACTTCTACATCTCGATGTATCGAGTGTGAGTCTTGAAATTCAGCAGTAAAACGCATGCAGTTCGACAACTATATGATGGGGTATCGACAGTGTCAGGAAGTAAACAGTAACTATAGCTGATATGTGACATTAAAAGCCTATTCTCCATGGATTAACAAACATTTTATCAGTATGGATGTAATATCTGTTTTATAGCATTATTTTAGCACACTATTCAATTTTCGGGCTGTCCGAATCTCACATAGGCTGATTTCAACTGGGTATTATGACGAATAATTTTAGTGGTATCGTATTTATATTCTGTCCGAGAAATTGACTATTATTCAAACTGAAAAAAACATGATTAACTCCCTTCAGATACTGATAAGTTGTATTACTTCTTTACATTTTATGCTGTGTTTGTAATATTCATCAGCTGTTTTGACTACCTATATGTCTTTTCTGTGCGCCTTAAGAAGTTCTCATTCCAAGTGATCTGCAGTCCCCAACGTCAATCTTCGCTTGCACTATTTATTTCTGTTTTTTATTCAGCCTGGGGATGGTTTCTTCGTGAAAGAGGAGATACATATACAAAGTTTTCTGCATAATTCATGATAACCATGCATGTAAAATCTGTTTACTCTTGTAAATTAATGGTTACCGGTGGTGTGGTCATATCAAACTAGCAGATTAAACGACTACACAATAGTCAAGATGACTGATTTACCAAGAATACTAACTGAAAACCAGTTCTTTAGCGCATAAATCACTTTTTTTGAGGATTTGAAAAGTTAAGTATAAACCTTGGAATAGTCCCAGACCATTTTTTCAAAGAATATTCTGCCTAACAGGAATTAGTTTGAAAAGTGATATTAGTGAGATAGTAGGTAATGTATAAAAGCTTATGCAGTCAACCTGTGCATAAGCTTAAATACATCTACCGTGACTCAAAACCTGTAAATTTGAGTCATTTAGACAAAGCAGCTAAGTTTTAGTTCATACTGTTGAACTGCTATCGATCACCTATTCCTACTTCCAGTGGAAAAATAACTATTTGATCAACTTGATGTTCAGATATTTTATTTTGTGTAAATGAGGACTGTAAGTAAGCAAATAAAACCAAACATCATTTACAAGTTAAATATGTATGGTATCAAGATTGCATGAAGTAAATATTAATTCAAGAGATTTAAGTTATCGCTGTATATCGCTGATATCAGCTGGACAACGCATCACCAATATACAAAATGTGGTAAAACTTGTAGATCAGACATATATAATGTATGCAGCATGTTACAGGAAATAGAACCGATGAATATTTCATCTGGACATTCATTTGAATCATTTCAGTTGTCTTTCTGTTATCATCAGATGAAAAACTTTAATTTCAAAAAGCCATTACTTGAGTTTTGGCCATAAACGAAACGCTACCGATCTGAACTTAATAATCAATTATGTAGCTGTGCCAATTGTGCAGCTACCTTTTGGGTATGTTACGAAAGCAGCTATGTGCATTAGATTCCACTATTTCTTTCAGAGATTAGAAATTTGAAGGTGCAGATTAGTGACACTTTTTTAGTGAAGATAACATCTAATAATTGTGAGTGAAAGTATAATTCATCTGGTTGTTTCGATAAATGTTTCATCTATTATTGGTTAATACAATTACTAAGATGTTCTCCAATTGGACAGTTTCGTAGCCTCACATGATTGGTCGATAGGTAACACACTGCACTCAAAGCAAGTACAAAAATAACTCATACGTTTGCGTGCACCTACAGTCTTAAATAAGTCTTTGTGTTATCAACACAAAGACTTTTTCTAGGAAAATTCTAGGAAATTAAACAAAAGGTTTTCCTTCAACTTGTTGTGAAATCTAGGTTAAGTCGAGTAAAATGGTCGCTCAGGAATTTATTGACCTATTCAATTCCATATCATTAACACAACGTTTTACTGTTGAAGATTTCGCTGATCGACTCAATTTATTCACTGTTATCCTTCTTCTAATTACTTGTATTGTTGTGTCAACAAAGCAGTATTTATTGAATTCTATATCATGTTATATACCTGTTAAACCGGCTGGAGAAAATTTCAATGACTATCTTGCAGACTACTGTTGGGTGCATGGAACAATACCACTGGCTGACGATGAAAAAATGCCAACTACGGATGCACAATGGGAAGAGTATGATGCAACAAGAAGGATAAGTGAGTAGATTTACTGTGCAGTTGTTTTGTTTAAACTTCTTGCGATCATTTTTAATAAGAAAGCGATTATAATAATAGTAAATAATAGTATACAGTATTGAGGTTATTCAAAAGTATGCACAGTTCGTCATTAGACACCAAGTGTTTTAAGTTAGTATTCATCATGGATGAAATTAGCTGAAAAGACATTGGAAACCCAGAAGCACTGGACACCTTTTTCTTCCTAGCACGGGACTCCTCAGCAGTGCACAGTCACGACCTCTTCAAGGACCGAAACAAGAACCTCCAGGTTCCACAGCCAGCACATTACCATTGAGCCACTGCGTCAGAATCTAATGGTCCATATTTCCTACTTCTAGTGTAAATGGTGACTCACTTTGAGAGGTGATTGTCGAAGTTCTAATAAGAAGTCATGACCGGTGAGGTCAACCAAGTCGCATATGAAGACAGATACTCAATGACGGCATTGGATGGAGGTCATGCTATGTCATGAACTGACAGAATTAGTGAATGTGGACGACTGTATTCAGACTCAGTGGCTCAACAGTGACTTGCTGAACGTAGGACCTAAAGGTCATGGGTCCGATCGCTGAAGAATGGCGTCATTGGTGCACACTGCTGAGGAATCCCATAATGGGGTGAGATGACTGTCCAGTGCTTCCGGGTTTTCAGTGTTTCTCCTGTTGATTTCATTTCACTATGAATACCAACCTGAAATCAATGAGTAAATCCCCTAAAAACTCCAAATTGACTAAATGTTATAGTTGTATGGTCTCGAAAAAGAGCCGGAATGCACTCAGCAGCCAAGTAGACCTTCGTCCAGTAGGCAATGTGTCATACCTATTGTATGCGGGATAATGGCACTACTTGGGTTTTCAAACAGTAAACAAAGCAGGGTTCAAATCTGCTACCTGCTCGTTGGAAGTCCGGTGCCTAGATCAATGAGCTACAGTTCAAACTCCTGAGAAATTTGCACGATCCAATCGTTGAGTTGGATGGCAATCTTTAAGAAAGATTTTGTCCTTCATACCTGCTTGGACTCGTCAGCTGTTTACCTCTGAAATTCACTGCCATAGTCAAAAGCATCAGTGCACGAAATTCCGAAACCTGGAAATTAGCAGCTTCAGTATTTTGTCAAATGATTCATTTACACAATTTACTGATTTGATTTTAACCATTATAGTGAATTTTTATTGAAGTGATCGGAATTTATTTACCCTAGGAAATAAGCCAACAGTAACGCACTTTCATTCTAGACACTCGCTGAGAGAAAATTAGGAAGGGTATAAGTGAGGGTGGATATAACTTATTATATTATAAGACTGCTGCTTCAAAACAAAAATTTATTGTCATATCTATCTCGTAATGAAATCTGAAGCGGCCTTAGTGTACTTAGTCCTCAAGTGTTCTAGAATACGTATAATCAGCTGTTCAATGCCTACTGACTCTCAAAATGCACAGTTATTCACAAAGTGACGGTGTTTATTGAGTGAAACTGTCAAAAGAGAGCAACACATTCTTATGCTATTTTGATGAAATAAGAGTACATTATGTTTAAGACTTTTATTTACAAATAGAACCGAATTTCAATAACAGATTATACAAGTATGAACCTGAAAACAATCATATGGTACTAACGAAACTATTATATGTAAAGCAATCTGTAAAAATACATAAATTATTTTACCTTATCAAGTAGATATGAACAGGAAGCAAAAGGAGTTAAACGACACGATATAGTGTTTATTAGTAGTTACCTTTCCTGTTACAATTTACTTCGTGGTGGCTACCGGTGTATTCTAGGACGCTGGTTTCATTCTATTTTGAACTTGTCAGGTATCAATGAATAAGTATTTACCTCTCAGCCAGAGGAAATAATGACAATCAACAGAGGAGAACAATTGACGCTAAATCACAAGCTGGTTAAGCTCGAAAAATATCGGCATTCAGATCTTTAGCAAACAGGCGTCAGAGATGATCCTAATCTCATAAAATTTGGAGGTTATGAATTTGATGTTAAGAAAGATTGGATATCTCTCCCTTCTTTTGTAAGTTAAAAGTATTAGTATATAGATTTAAATGGTAATAACAAGCAGATGACCACATATCATACTAACAGAAACTGATTGGAGTGAAACTGACATTTAGTTAACAGCCAATTCCTATGGTTTAGTTGGGAATGTTCTAAAACACTAACGTGGTTGCTGATGACTCGAATCATACTGCATTGAAAGTTTTCTTCCAACCTCTCTTATCTCTCTCTTTTACAGTCTGTCAGCCAAGATCATCTTATATAGTCCAACTAGAAGATGTATTACCACTGTTTGCATGATGTTTTTCTGAGTAGTTTTCCTCGCAATATGTTTGTTTATACAGAAGATCATAAGAGAGGGTTATAAAAAAGTATTGTGACACTGATATATACACAGACGTTTTTCTTTAGAGCCATACAGAAGACAACGATAAAAATGTGGTGAGTAAAACAGTTATCGGCAAATGTGGAAGCAAATATCCAACTTACAGTCTGCTTGACGGAGGAAGGCAGTTATTCTTAAAACGGTCAGAATTTAGTTACAAAAATCATTGATGAAGTCCAAATTTTTACGCCAGTAGGAGCTATCTCCATTATTGACCCAGTAAAATTTAAGGTCATGAGGTCATAACTGGGAAGAAATTTTCACTTATGCGAATCAAGAACTCTTAAGGCCAGCCATACTTCCTATAAGAAAAATAATTGTGTGTGCTTTGTACTGGCGGAGTGTGAAACACTTTTGCAAAATTGGCAGAATTCCTTTCTGATGACGTCTTGGAAGAAGTCATAAAGTTCGTGTATCTGAGTAGGACATTTATGCTAATAGAGATGTAATGGATGTGACTTTCATCCATACACTGGAAGATAGAGCGGTAAATGTCGATACACATCACGTTTGGTTCTGACACGATGCTGTCCTGCTTCATAAAGGCTCAGTGTACAAAACATCAGTGCCGGTAGTTTTGTTTTATGATTCTGAAACTTACCTTATCTCAGTTGCAAATGTTCGATGACTCTGTGAGTTCGACTGTTGCTGTCTTGGTAGGATTGATGACATCTACAGGAAACACGGTTTAGATAATTCTGAACTACAGTGACGTGTCCTTTATATTGGTGGAGATCGTCACTAACTGTATGATCTCAGCATGCGCTTCAAATGCCATCAAAGCGACTGCTATATGTGATGTCGTAGCATGGAATGGACAATAATTGTGTCGTATAGGCACCTGTAGATGCCTCATCACTTCTTGGTTCAGGGCTGAGATGTCATTCATTGGCGTTAAAAGAAATAGGGTTTAGCTGAAAATTAAAACTATCGATGAACGTGTTGTCATCACTTTGCACCTTTTAGTTATGAAAACTGACACAAATATAATTAAAAGCTTTTTGAATATACGTTTTAGAACTGATTGTTTCATCGACTTTCCGTTTCTTTTCCTATCTCTTAGGCTTATTGATACCATACGTCATTCTATATTACTTTGTATGGTGCCTTTTTGGTTCCAATGTTGTATCGAGTTTAAAATTAAATATTAAAAGTCTGCACGTACTTTAGATTACTGTGAAATTTTTAAGTGAAGATCTATTTTTATATGAGAAATTTAAAATTATCCTATATAGTTATTACGCTACAACGTCTTGTATCAGTATTTTCATTTGTTCTTTTCACAAATGTACTTCTGAAACGGAAGATTTGTTTCCGTTTCTTGGGAGCTAATCTGCTTTCTACCTCAGGATTATTTGATCAAAAATGGTCATACTAGGTGAGGGTGTTATGGAATTCAGCTGATTTACCTTCAGAGTTTTATTAGTTCTGGTTGTATATCAATAATCTTTTGATGAGTCGATAAACGCGTATCAAGTGATCGACCGATGTTCCATAGCCTTTGTTTCTACAGGGAACGGAAGGGGAATTCATACTAATCCGCGAAGTGATTAATTATCTATGTTAGCTGTGTTCCAACGTTTAGGCTACCTGGTTAACGTGTTTAGTCGATGACTGGGGCCATCAAATGATGTAGCTGACAATATGTCAGAGTTGCTCAGATGTATCTTTTTTATGTCCGATTTCAAATTATGGCCATTCATTTGTTGTGTACCTTTAGATTCACCAACTTTGTTGCATGTCCTCTCTCAGCTTTCCTCTACCATTGTCATTCTGAAAATTTGTTTTTCTGTCGTTTACTTCACCTGAGCTATCAATTCTATGCAATTTTTTTACTTGAATTTATATAAATTTCAGTTTTTGGTTTCATGTTCAGCTTTCAGCCATACCCTTAGTCATCGAAGATAACAACTTGATATGATATGATAACTTAAATAGTGAAATGAAGTTTTTTCGGGCTAAAGCTTCAGTCCTACCGTTGACCAGCCATGTATAGATCCTAACTCACTCAACAAGGACTATCATATATGGTCATGAAATGTTATCCTACTGAATGCTTGTTGCCAGTAGGGACAGCAATTTTTGTTGAAATAGACATTATAACGGTTTCAGGACAACAAAATGACTACTGAAATATATTACCAAATAGTTTGATTGAAGCTAGGTCATTAACATGGATTTTAAGATTGCACTAACCAGAACAAAGTCATCTAAACACCATGTGCTCAATAAACCAATTATTTACTTGATTAACGGTCTATATTACTTCTCATAAATGAGTAGCTTTTCAATTGCTATTTCGTAGCTTACTGATGTATTCAAATTGGCTAATCAAATTCGGTTATGTGAACAGAAGTCATCAGGGTATACTGATGACCATAAGAACCCTAAAAACAAGTAAGACTGCCGTCTTGCGCTTAGATTCCTTTGGTCTGTTCAGTGAAATGTGTATCTTAGCGAAAGCATCCTCTAGTTACTCATATTCTCAGCAGTATATATGGTTACTTCATTATACATTTTGGTGTTGGATGTCTGGTTACGGATGGATATCTTCTTGTAAAACATAATTCATAAAAAGGTAAA